TTACGATACGTGAAATCAGGGATCCGCGTATTCCTTTTAATTGGCAATAAGGAGTTATGGGAACATGGGACTCTTTTCCATTTCACAAACCATACTCTTATGAATTATTTCGGCTCCAACGTCCAAAAAACACCATTGATCCTGTTGGTTTCGACGGAGTGTACAAAACATAGTCATCTGCATATTTACTAAAACAATTCCAAATGAGGGAAACAGTGGAGATGCTTGCTAAACACAATGCTTGTACTGAATCAAACACACGCTGATAGAATTTATCTTCATTCGGCACGAAATAACTTCGATGCAGTCCGTTAGTGCGATAATAAAATGACTACGTTAATTAATTATGTCAGGGCGAAAATTCTGAGAAGAGTGTGGCATTGGCTCCGCAATTCATATGTTTACATTAAGACACCACCACATTTACAAGAAACCGTATTTGCGATTGTCATATATTTCATCTAACCAACTTCTCATAACAAAATTTGTAAGTTCAATGCACATCAAGATTTTATTACTTTTTAATTTGTGTCTTCAAATTCGTAGGAAATTTTAGAATTTTTTTTTTGAAGTTTGATTCCACTCCCATCGAGCTAAAAGTACTAGTAAAATTTATATTATGAGCAGTTAGTATGAAGTGAACGGTACAGTCAATGCAGGCTCTAAATAGACAATTTTAATGCAGAACAAATGGATGTAACGACTTTGTGATTCGGCTATCCAGTTTATGACAACGGCGATCACGGAGGCTGGTATACAAACAAACTCGTTAGTCCGCGGGGCTTTCGGAGAATATGTAGCGAAGATCAACGACGATTTTACTACGTTTTATAGAAGAAACGCAAACACACACATTATATATATATATATATATAAAATGAACAGGAGGAAACATTGAAGAAAAACATAGCTCCCACAATGCTCCTGCCACGGCAATGAGCGTGCGCGATGCAGCAAAATTAATTCAGGTGCTAATGGATTGAACGCATTCGCTAGACGACACCGTAGCTTGTTGATGGAAGCGACCACTCGTATCCGGCGCCTGGTGGCAAGGCCTTCGCGCTTAGGGCCGCGGAGGGAGTCCAGAGGCGTCCATGGGGCGCGCGCAAGTGGCGCGCGGAGCGGCGAGTGCCAACCCACATTCGCAGTTGGATAACTTCTGCAATGCATGTCACCCGCGCCCGCGCTTCCTACTTTCTTCTTCAGCGCGCGGAGGCCCCTCCCGCACTCGCCGCGTGACCGACCGCTGACGCCCGCGGCACGCGGCGCGTAATGAACCGGAAGCGCCAGGGGCGGCGCCACCCTCGCCCGGAGGGGGGGGGGCGGGGAAGATTTCTTAATGTGTAACCCTAGACATTCGAACGGGGGGACTCAAAGAGCACACCACCTCCATGTTGCTTTCTGTTCACTTGATTGTTGAGAGAGTTTCACTCTTCGTTTCCACAGCAATGGTAGAATATATGTGTGTTACTTTTTTATACCGGCATTTTTATAGTCCGGGTTCAATAAACTCTTCCTTAGTAGAAGACGTAGTTTTTCCATAATGCTTTTAGAGCTTTTATTACTTTTCCCCTTACATCTACATATGTAAATTTTGTTTGTTTTGCATTTGCAATTCTGCATTTGCAATATTCATTATTTTTCATGAACGCCCCGGAACAGAACTGGCGGTAAGAGTGCAACAATTTTTCAGTTGTTTATTCGCTGGAGACGTCAGAAAGGTTGTCTGAATGGAAAATAGAAGGATGCGTGTGAAGAAGAGTATAAAGTATGATACCGAGTTTTCTCGACAAGCTCCTCCACCCCCACCCTTAGGAATAGACTTTACTATTTATACTCTCTTATTGTTTGGGTTAATATTAAAAGGGTCAGCGCAATAGTGGTCTAAGCCATATTTAAAGAAAACCGATAATATTCAAGATAAAGTTACATTGTTGTGCCTACAAAAAGAGTTGTAAAGAGAAAAAATAGCGAGTTTATTCTGAATTTAATACACGAAAACTGGTCAAACCAACTAAGTACAAAGATAGTTTACCTTCTAGATGGTGTTAATAACTCTTCATTTTAGGGGATTATATCAGCATTGCATTCAGCCCTACAATTATTGTTGGGAATGGTATAGCTTTGTTGATGATCCGCGATGCCCAGAACCAGATTAAAATTATAAAGCATCTAAGCATACGGAACTTATATAATAATTTATAAATGTAGAACCTGTGTATTTTAAATTAATATGAATACAGTAACCTAAGAGGGACCAAAGTATGTGCTTATTTGGCTAAAGAAGTAATCTACCACTTGCTACGCTCTTATATCCGAATATATAGATTCGTAGCCTTTACTTCTGAAGTTCCCAGGTCATTTGCTTTGACCGTGAATATGGTTGCGTACAACGATTCTAGTGACTGTTTTGTGGCAGGCCAATAGACAGAAGGCCAATCAGCAGAGAACGAATATAGTATTTGGGCGATGAACTAGTTTAGAATTGGACTTGAAGGCGCCGTTTAGCTTGAGGGTGTTTTATATGACAAAATTTGCGACAAGGGACAACCGGATTTACTTCCGCGTACAAAGTAGGTTTTCCCCCTTGAAACGAGTATTTCTTCCGGGTCCGAACCCGAGCAGTAGGATACGCTAATGTTGACACCATCGAATCTCCAATGAATGGTACGAACTCAAAACCATTATAATGAAAATAAAGTTATATTTACTCTACGAATCGTCAGGCTTCCACTGTACGGGAAGATGTCAAGTTACCAAACGGTATACACACAAGGCTCAGACGACAGGTTTCATTAATATCAATTCATTGTGTGATAATTTTTTAATTACCACTATTTCTGACAGTTTGTATTTAATGTAAATATAAATCTGTAATGCAGTAATGCTAAAATTTGATAGTCATGTTCAATAACTCTTAATTTTCTGTTACAACTTCTGATAATTTGATATATAAATTACTGCTCTCGGAACATGAATAATATAAAATGAAGAACTTGATTAATAAATTTAAACAGTCCATAAAGTTACTTTCTTTCGAAAAAAATATGATAGGATTTTTAAGCTATTTTGATAATGATATTAAATTCATCTTTTAAATGCAAAATCAGAGACAGTCAAGTTCACCGTTCTTAATAAATATGAACGCTGAAAAGTAATTTTATTACTATTATTATAACTAAATACTTATTATTACATTATTAAATATCCCAAGACCATATAATTTTATTATCAACGAGTTACGAAAGTTGCGAAGTTACAGAAAACTAATAAATTTTGCGAGAAAATATTATAACCTCACAATATAATCTTTTCCCCGAAACTCTCTCTATATCACGATACTTTTACGCATTCAATAAAAAGAATCATCAGAAGTTGAGGAGAAGAAACAACAGCATTGAATAAATCAACAATCGAGACGCGAAATCAAAGCCACGCGCGATACAGCTACTTTTCAGAAACAAAATTTTGTGCAAACGGCGGGGAAAGTCTCGCGCGGAGTATCAGCGGATCTAGAAACCAGCGGGTGCAAGCGCACTTTCGCGCGCACGCGAAGGACGCACCGGGGGGGGGGGGATCAAGGAGGCAGCGCCGCCGCTTCAAACGGAGGAGGAGGAGGAGGAGGAGAAGGAAGATCGAAGGGTGACGAGAAAGGACGGGAAAGCGCCGCGAGAGGCGATTAACGGAGCACGAATATCGCGTGCCGCAAAGAGAGGCGTCTTTCTCTCTCCCTCTTCGACTGTCGACGCGGCTGCTCCGGCTGCTGGCTGCGACAGCGTCGTCGGACCTTCCGCCTTCTCACAGCGTAACCATCTCAGCTGCTGTTTGTTAGGCATTCGCCGAGCAGCGAGCTATTCGTCACCCAATCCCCAACAGTTCGGCGAATGTTTGCTTCCTTTGATTAAGACCAGCAAGCGGTGGGAAAGGCGAGCGCCGAATGTTCGTCGCACGGCAAAAAGCAGGCAACTCATCCACACTACTTGTAATAACGAGTGTGTGGAGCCCCCTTGACACAAGCGCGGACCTGAGAGTGTGTCAAATCACACGCATGAAAGTATTTTCTCTTCTATCGGTCCTCACCGGATCTCTGGACATTGGAGTTGCAATTTCAGTTACCCGGTGAAGTATTGATGATGGTGGTCTGTTCGGTTTTTTGATAGGTTTTCATCGAGTTCTTACATTTCCCTTGTCACTTAATCTACAATTGTTCTATCATTCAAGATAATGTTTGCACTATTCACGTACCACCGAATGGTACAGACTTCAGCCTAACAAAAACATTATTTATTTAGTAAAATATGTAGGCACATTGATTTAATGCAAAAAATACTACATTTCCTACAAAGGGGCATTTTTAATCTATTTGGTTACGGAAATGATTTCAATCGCGATGGAAATCCACAATGGATGCTCTGAATCGATAGCTTAATAAAGTCATACGTTCTACTTAGAAATGCTTCCAATGAAAGGAAGCTCAGCTACCGTTAAGTGGGCGTTCCAGAGAAATGTCCTCGTCATAGAGATACAGCTCTTCCGGGAGATACAGTGAATTCAAAAGGACTTTTTATGGTTGACATACGATCCGTTCGATAAAATTGGCATGTTTACATTGTAACATACTTCTGCAGCGCTAGACATTTCTATGCAAAGTTCACCTTGTAACATTAGCATACAATCGACCAGTTATTGAGCTGAAAATAGAAAAGTCTTGTTGACAAATGATTAATATAGTATAGAGGAAGTTGTAACTTTAAAGTATAGTCTTTCATGAAGGATAAGCTTATTCACGGTCCAATGACTATGTTTTGGTTAAGCTTTAGTTTTTGAATTATTCACAAATCTTCATTAAATTGCAATTTAAACACCTTTTATGACATTTACGATATTGATTGCGGTTCGGTAGCCTAATAATGATAAAACAGTTCAAAATAGGAATTAGGTAAATTGATCTCACCAGCTACTTTTTCTTCCATCTACAGTCGTCGAAGTTGCAAAATCACAGTAACTGCTCGCTCTTGAGATCGGATATGAAGACTGAAGTATACAAAGGATCTGAAAAACAGAGAAAAGTATTTCAAATGAACAAACTTACAGAGAAAAAATGAACAAGAGAACTCGCACACGTGATACTAATTTAGTTTTTCAATGTTTATCTTGTAAAAGATTGAGCAATATATAAAAAATAATCCGATCAGATGATGAAAATATTTTCTGTGCTTTAAGTAATTATTTTTACATATTTTAACCACGAAAGTTTGATTTTAATCGTAAATAAGCAATGTACGACGTACTTATTTACAAATACCTAATCAGTAGTACATCGTCTTACTACTTGCAAAGATCATTATCGATTTTCAAGCCAATTCAATAGCATGTAGTATCAGTTAACATCGTTCTTTTGTAACCATTCAATGCAAATATTGTTTCCTTAAGAGACTGAAGTTTGAAGTTTTGCAAATAGAAACGTTGAGTTGCAGTTGCTGGAGCACTAAGAAGGCTAATTTAAGTTTAAAAGATTCTTAAATTGTACGACCCATTCGCAAGCTCCTGATGAATACTTTATCTTTATTCGCACCCAGAATATTATTTTATAAATACTCAAAATATACTTCTGGAAAAACGTGAAGAAACAATTATTGCACAGCATTTTCTTTTACCCCTTTAGAGCATAAATACTCTAAAAATATACAATTTCCATCAAAAAGACAGTAGAATGGTAGCCCAGCACGAGTGTTTTCTTTACGCTCGCCAAGTTCAAAGAGGCTGCCACTTGGTCACACCGCAGTCACCACATTCATCTCGCCTTCTTAGGTCCGTCCCGAAGCGTTAAGGTATTTGCCGAACAATTAGGGGCGTTTGAAGCGTTTGTCTCGCCGCAAAATATTTTTCTTTCGTCACGGTATCGTTCGCGGTACGTGAGGCGCGCTTTCTCACGGCTTCTCTCCCGCCGCCGGTAGCCATGTAGGTCGATTGCCAGAGACACCTGGACGAGTGCCGAGGCGGCGATTCATTCAAAGCGATTCACTTGCTTTTCGCCTTCTCCCGCCGCTGAACCGACGTCCTAGCCAAGCAATACTTCCGTCTTCCTCCCCTCCCCTACTTACAAACTAGTGGTGCTAAAACAGCACATACTTTCTCGCCCGTACTGCCATGTACAATTACGTGAAAAGTACTCAAATTTTCAAAAAAAAAAAAGTATATAACCTTATTTCAAAATTTATCCTTAAGAAACAGATTTCATTATGGGAAAATGCCTATCTTCATAATTAGTTTGTAGTATTAGTTGTATAGTTTCTAGTTAGTTTGTAGTTGAAGGAAGACACCAAACAAAATTTTGAATTTTTTGAATTTTCAAAAAATCAGTTCTAAATGAACTTGAGATATGTACCATTCTCTTAAACGTCCTTTACATTATCCAACAACAAAATTTGTCAAAAACAATGAAGCCATTTTTTGAAATATTTTAAAATGTCCCAGGGATTTCATCTAAAGTGCCGCCAAAAATTGAAATATCGGTTTCAAATTGAAAGAGCCGCGACATCAGTCAACTCAGTTAGAAAATATCAATTTTTGAGAAAATCAGCTGAACGGATCAGCAGCTAGAGTTGATTACAAACGGACACACGGCTAGACAGACATTTTGCCCTCATTCAATCTTTAGGTATCAAGGATATCAAGAGTGCAATAATGTTTCAATGGACTACGTTTCGCTGTCTCTCCGAACGATTTCTGCCCTCGCGAGAGGAATTGTGAGAAGGATAATGCGGGCATGGAAGAAGGAAAGCGTTTACTGAATGGCGGAGGAAAGTACAAATATTACGTAATTTGATTGTATTATCAACGATAACGAAGTAAACACACATAAATTCATAATTATGAATATAAAAGAGGGCTCTACTGCTTCCGTAACTGTCCTTGTCGGCGCCTACGCGTGAATTTCCCTGAAGGCGCTGCATCTACCCCTACCCCTTTCGACTTACAAGCTCGCGAGCTCGGCCTCAAGCTGCTGGTGACAGCGATTTAAAATGAAAGGGGTATAAGGTCTGGTTTCGGGGGCTGGTGTTTAGGTCCGGGATTTGGGGTCGGTATCAGGGTTCTGAGCGCTAAGTCTCGAGGTGTGGCCTAGGTCCGACATCCGGGGTAAGGGTTGAGTGCTTGTTTCCGGGTTGAGTCTGGGAGCTGGGGCTCCGGAGGCTGGGTGCGGAGGCCGGAGGACTGGGTTCGAGGCTCATGGGCTCCGGGGGTCCGAGGCGGGTCGACAAAAGCTGAGGATCGCGAGCTTGCAGGTCGCCCACGCGACTCGGCGACGCGATTCTCGCTCGACCGCCCGCGGCGCACGCTCTGAATACCTCCGCTCCTCAAGCACGTAAACAAGCGTACTCTAATGTCCGGGCTGAAAACATCCGGTTCTCACGGAACCAATCAGCGCTTTCTGATAAGAATACGTAATATGCAAAAATGAAATACATCGAACAGAAACAAACATTCGTAGTTCCTGAAAGTCAAAAATTATAATTTACCTGTGGTTAAATTAATATTAATAATATAAATATTATACTTTATATCAATAACATTTCAATGAAAACAAGCGACTTTTAGAGCATTTCAGTGGTTTTGGTCTCGCTGATCGAAAACGTGTCAAAAAGAATATTGATAAAGAGGAGGCAACATTTAAAGATAACTGAATTACGCAAAGTAATGTTGAAAATACTCGCAAAGAGTAAAAGTAATAGGAGGTTCATGATTATAAATAATAATAATAATAATAATAATAATAATAATAATAATAATAAACTCTCTTCCCTCTTATTATACATGAATATTTTTATGTTGGATGGAATATTGTTCATATACGAACTGTACAAAACACAGAGGACTGGGTACTTATGAAAGAGATTTTGTCTATTCCGCTGTGGGCCCATATCTTTAACAATTTCCTGTTTTCCCGGAATTGTATCGAAGTTTTATCAACGCGATCAAGTTAGAAATCTGTTATTTTTGTATATTTTTTGCATATTATTACAAGTGACTTAGATATGCTGTCGAAAACGATTTTGTGGGTAGGACTTCTCAATAAGCAATAAACAAATCTGAAACCAATAGCTCCTATAAAAGCTGCTATAAAACGGAACAGCATCTGGAGGTACAACTCGGTTATTGTTGGGGCTCACAATTCGGCTTCGCGCTTTTAATACGGTTAGAATTCGTTTTAGTTTTAGTTTGGGTAGAATGCATGAAGAATTGTTAGAATGCATTGGTTCGGTAATTACTGGAAATAAGTTTCTTCCCTATTCGCTATCATAATGAATCAGTTTTGATGGGTAACTTGTACGAATTTCTTCACTGAATTGTCTAAATAAATCACTTATTGCAGAAAAAACAGAAGTCAGTAAACAGTAACATTTCAGTTGTGACAAAAATCCTCCTATTTCCTCTATAAATCACAATATATCAATATTTTGTGTAATATTCCAAATATTGAGTCGTAGATCTGTACTTGTCCTACATCTTCCTCAATATAATAAACGAAAGTAACTACACTAAGTGAAAATAGCAGAAAAGGGACTGATATTTCTGAAATAAACCATTCAAACGTTATTCCCTTAGCGACGATCGTTTTAATGGGTCCTGTTACACTTACCTTTGCATTTCTCAATTTCTTCTCACATAACTAGATCAAAATAGTATTTATCCTCCACCAGACACCCCATTACTTCATTTTCTTTACCTCTACATTACGACAATGGAAAATATCCCTAGACATGAAATTGCAGAAACAAGGCTAAGCGATATGGGAAAGGTCTGCAGAAGATGGAGCTACATTTTAGAATTTATGAAATATTAAAATATATCCAAATATGAAAAAATATAAAATCTGTTGAGCTCCAGGTACGTCAATCAATCATAATCTCAACATTAAACCATCAAAAACAGACTCACATAGTAAATTTCTATTGTTGCACTGTTCTGCTAAATGTAGTAATAGCAAGAGTTTGCATCAAATAATATCTCGATTGTTTGTTTTTTGCCCAATTCTACGTGTAAAAAGGCCTCTTATTGAAGCCGAAGATTTGTCTGTGATCAATGATTTCCGTTATTCTTGTAATAAAAATGAAGAATGCTGGAATATCAGTGGTCCCTCCAACTATGGTGCGCAAGGTCACTTATGTACTAGACAGGTCCGGAGGCATCGTATGCTTGCTACCCTCTCGTGCAGAAAAATCGCATTCCTCCTACACTTTCAGTTTCATCATTATATCCACCACTAACATTTGCAATACCAAATTAATTTTAACTAGTATTCATAATTGCCCTGAGTAGTTCAATTTTTTAAAAGTATTATTCCCTTTACAAAAATTAACATCCAAGCACATTTCAAAACATTTTAGGTATCTGGGATCTATGGAAGTGTATTTCAGGGAGATATGTTTCATGCGCAATGTACCGCTCATAGTAGCATACATATATATTTCATTTGAGAAAGGTTAACTGTTTTTCTTAGTCTAAGATGAATTGCTTCGTCTGATGTCACCGGTGTGTAGGAACTCGAGTGAAAGCGCCCCGCCGTGGGTCGTAGTAATCGACATTGAAACGGTTGTTGTGGTCAGCGAGTTCAGGACTTTACGAAAAACGACAAGAACAGTCTCAATTTCATTCCAGCTTGCAGTCGTAACGCTTTATCGTAACATCACCAACAGAAAAGAACTTGAGCGAGAAGTGTCACTAGCGCACATCGTACTTGTCGACACTGAAGCCTCCACGGCATGGCAGGGTCCATTGAAAACATGGCGCGCAACGGCAGAAAGACCGTTGTAACGAACGCCAGCCGCCATTTCGAGCGGGGTCGCGCGCTGCGGCTAGTGCCGCGAGGGCGAACGGGTGGGTGAGGGGCGGTGGCGGCGTGCGTTTTCTCCGAGGAAAGTGGATCGTTCTGGTGGTCGCCACGCGACCGCGTTGATATGGACGACGCGCACGCTCCCCGTCCCATGCCCCGCCCCCTTCCCCGCCCCCCTCCGCGCCCCGCACGCCGCGTCGCCGCGCCCGCACTCTGC